ATGAATTGAAATATGCTTACTTTTTTCTAGATCACATATACTGAAATTAGGAACTTCGAAAAACAAATGAAGAAAGAGGCTGTTGTACCTGCCAAACTCACAGAGAGGTGACGTTATTTCCAATAAATTTTGCTCTGTTTTTCTGCTAGGCAGTGTGAAAATAGAAACACCCTTCTATTTGCCAAACACCTTATTAATAAGCTTTTGTTTCAGTCATGCAGGTGGTTAAATATGCTGTATTTATACTACTGTACTGACATAAAGCTGCTGGATAGATATGCTACCATCCGTAATTTCATTTTTCACTGGGAATACTTCATATTTTTCCACGCAGTTGAAATGTCAGCATATACTTCATTCATCAGCTATTTTACTACCAATAGCTTGGCATCGCCCAGCCATCTCTTATGCAATATAAATCCTGTCCTGATTAGTATTCTTTTGGCACAACAAAAGTTGCACAACTGTAGAAGAAGCTATAAATTTCTACTGGAGAAATGCTGATTGTCTCCTAGGGGTGAGGAGTAGGGCATAACATTTCAGTTAACATTTTGGAGAGAACTGACTTCGATAACTAGATTATGGAAAATCTTAAATCACTCTGGATCACTTAATACTACAAAGTGCACAGGGGAGAAATGATGTTGTGGACATTGTTATTAGTTTCATTCTTCTCCCCTGACTACTTATATGTAATATGGCCTGACAGTTTTGTTTTTACAAATGTTTCTCCCAAAGTAGAGTTCATGAGATCTCTGCCAAAATATTCAGTCTTAATAGAAGAGCAGTCTGGTGATACTTAACTTGTTAACCCCAGTTTGGCACAGAAAAGAGAAGACTATTGAAAAGAAGGAGCTGACAAAGCTCTGAAAAGTAGAGCTCAAAAGACTACTTTAGTACACACAAGTTGTTTCTCTTTTCCTATCCATCAGATCTTTTCCCCAGCACTGCTATAGATAAGGGGATAATCCAAATTAGAACCATGAGATTGTGGGGTTAAAGGAATTAAGTCATCAAGTCTTAATCCAGATGGAGGCTTCGTTGCTTGATCGTTGCCATGGAAACTAGTTTTAGAGTTAAAGGCAAGGATGGGTTTTTGTGTGTGAGAGAGCAAGTGATAGCTGTAGGTAGGATATAAATCAGGACAGTGAAGAATGCATAGGATTATCTCCTGTTCAAGAAGCGGTCAGGTTATCTACAAAAAATAAAAAATAAATGGAAAAAGGATTCCAAAGCCATCCTAGTCTTGTGATACTTTGAAGTGTATATAGGTAGTCCTTGACTTATGACCAGTCACATAGCAATTGGTTGAAGTTATAAAAAACCTGTCTGCCCCAAAAAATATGTACAACCAGTTTCTAAAGTTCTGAGGCTGCCCTCCCCCCAAGATCATTTGACCGCATTTTGGGCACATGGCCAAAACGATGGCTGTTTGCAACATTTGGCAGTCAAATGACCACAATTTATATTTTTTTGCCAGAAATTGGTCTTTACTTATGGTTTCCCGCAAAAATCATAGTGAATAATGGGTTTGCTTAACAACTGCCATGGAAAAGTTCATAAAAATGGGTCATGTGGTTACCTGCTTTATGATTGTTACAATTTAGTGACTGTAATTGCCAGAGTCAGTTACAGATGTAAGTGGAGGCCTATTTGTATGTGTATTGATGGTGTTGTGAACATTCTAGTATAATATAAAATATAAAAGAAAAATATATACCAATAACACTAATATAATGCAATATAAAGCAACAGATAAGAAGCCATTTTTTTAATTCTTTGTGTAAAGCCTGTAACACCAGATGCCCTGTATTATTTTCTTAGCATGCTAAATGCATTAAAGCAGGCCCAAGAACTAGCTACGGCAAAACCAGTTATTACTGACCTATTGAACACCTACTCGGATGATGAATATATTAGGAAAATTCAGAAACGTCTTGAGGAGGATACCTTTGCTCGAGAACAACGGGAGAAGAGAAGGAGAAAGATGTTAAGGGAGCAACTCATAGCTCACGAAGCGCAAGAAGTGAGTTAGATACGTTGCCTTCTGATTTTTTTAGATTATACTGTTGCGAATTAACCTGTTTGAAAAGACATGAAAAGTAAAAGCTATTATGAAACCTGTTTGGAGAACAATTTACCTTTACTGGTAAAAATAATAAGCACATTTTTGACTTCTGGATCAGACTTTAATGTTAAGCATAGTGATATATATTTTTTTAAAAAAACTAGCATGTTATTAAAAGTATAAAATTTGGAACTGTAAAAAAAAAACTAAAAATGAAAGACAGGGCAAGTTCTTCAAATTTAAAAATATAGCATCTTGATAGGTGAAACCCTGGTTTTATGAGTGCATCAGGACTGGGGGACTAAGAATTGCTGATGGCAAATCATCCATTTTTACTAGTACCTTTAGCAATATCTTTAATTTCTTTATCCACAAGCCCTTGAAATAAACTGAAGCTAATTAACCCCACAAGAGGTCAGTTGATGATACTATGCAACTTGTTTCCTGTTTTCCTGAAAGTAAACCCCTTTCAGTTGAATTGAGATTATTCCTCAAAGATCACTTGAACTGACAGGGCTGAGAGAAAATGATCAACCAAGGTCTCCCAGCAGGCTTTGTGCTTGAAGTAGGACTACACTAATGGTCTCCCAGTTTCTAGCAAAAGTTGTATATTGCATCACTGTTGTTGGTTTCTTTATTATTTTAGGAGGCCTATAGAGAAGAGCAGCTTGTCAACCGACTTATGAGACAGTCCCAGCAAGAGCGGAGAATAGCTGTTCAACTTATGCATGTGAGGCATGAGAAAGAAGTCCTGTGGCAAAACAGAATTCACAGAGAAAAGCAGTTTGAGGAAAGACGCCTCAAAGAATTTCAAGAAGCTCTTGATAGGGAAGAGGTAGATATACATTATTTTCATCTTTGTTACTGTATTTTTCTCTTTTGCATGTCCCTCCCTAAATGTCTATGGAGATTCTCAGTCATCCAGGTCATGGTTGTCCCAAAGGTGCTTTTTCAAGAGGCAACTGGACTTTCTGATTTTTCTTTGAAGAAGAAAGAAGCTGAAGAAGCTTCTTGGATGAGAAGCGAAATGCCTTCAAAGAAAAACTAGAAAGTCCAGTTGCCTTTTGAAAAAGCCCCTTTGGAACATTTCCCTCCCTAAGTGACAAAACCACCAGAGAATGTGATTATCTTACCATGGGACAGTGCAAATGATTATACATGTAACCATATTGCATAGTAGGAGATTACTGGATAGTGTCTATGAAGCATGTGCTATTCTTCCATTCTTCTGGAAAAAGTTATCTTTTTCATCCTTCAAAAGAGGTTGAAAGATTTGATCGACAGTGTTCACCAAAGATTCACTTCCACGTACAGATAGTCCTCAGCTTATGACTACAATTGAGCCCAACATTTCTGTTGTTGTGTGAGACATTTATTAAGTGAATTTTGCCCGATGACCTTTCTTGCCACAGTTGTTAAGTGAATCACTGCAGTCGATAAGTTAGTAACATGGTTGTTAAGTGAATTTGGCTTCTCCATTGACTTTGCTTGTCAGAAGGTTGAAAAAGCTGATCACGTGGCCCGAGGACATGGCAATCGTCATAAATATGAACTAAGTTGTCCATATTAACATGGTTCACTTAACACAATTGTTAAGTGAATCTGGCTTCATTTAATTGATTTTGCTTGTGAAAAGGTTGCAAACAATCACATGAACTTTGGGCATGTGCAAGAGTCATAAGTATGCCAAGCATCTAAATTTTGATCACATGTTCATGGGGCTGCTACAAAGGTCGTAACTGTGAAAAATCATAAGTCACTTTTTTCAGTGCCGTTATAATTATGAATAATCACTCAAAGAACTGTTGTAAGTTGAGGATTACCTGTGGGTAGTTATAATACAGTGCAGTCCTGTACAAATGAAGCCTTTTGAAGCCACCAGAACTTTATTTTGAAATGATAGGAACATCCACTAGAGGCCACAATTCTCTTGTGTGCCAGAGAGACGTATAGGAAGCTATAGAATCAGAAAGATGTGTCCTCATTTAGGTTCTTACGTTTATAGCATATTTGAGGAGCTCAAATGAAAGAATTAACAGAATAACAGTCGACAGTCATGTTCTTCTGCCTTCTAATATAGTTAGCAGAATTCTAACTTTAGTAACAGTGGAATAAATGGGTTAACACACTGGTTGAAGAATGTCTTTTATGAAAAGGAGATGATTAGTGGACAAAAGTCCAGTCAAAGAACATTTTGAGGCTTGCTTGGTCCAGTCCTTTCAGAGGATGAAAATAGTTCACACCTTGTTTTGGTCAGACACATCAGTTTACAAGATACAAATTTGATGGTATGTCCCTCTGCTCCAGATTCTTCTTATATGTTCATGCAGATCTGATGGACTGCATTGATTGCTTTCCTTGCTGTTACAAAACAGAACCAGTAGTGCCTGGCAGGTTCCTTAAAGAGATCAACTCTTTAAGCAGATCTCTTTAAGGAAAAGAGATCTGACTTGCATCATACTTAGCTATTAAGTAAGCAAAATAAATGCTTATATTGGGTATCCTTGGCAGGTGTGGGTCGAGCAGCAAATGAAAAAAAGGGATATAAAATGTATTCTCAATGCCCTTTTTATGCGCACCATGGTGCTCCACACATGTGTACCGTGTTTCCCCAAAAAATAAGACAGGATTTTATTTTATTTTGACCCCCGAAATAAGCGCTTGGCCTTATTTTCAAGGAGGTCTTATTATTTTTGGGGTGCAGGAGGCTGCAAGTGTGGTCATCTCATGACTGCTGCTGTGTTGCAATATTTTCGGGGGAGGGCTTATTTTAGCGCATGCACTCAAAAACCTGATTGGGCTTATTATCCAGGGAGGTCTTATTTTCAGGGAAACAGGGTATAAGGAGCAATGCTTATGTTGCAACCCTTGTTTTGACATTGATATCATCAGATTCTGAAGATGTTCCAGTGCTTATTCAAATGCTACAGGTGTTCAGGTGGATATTAAATCAATATCAGTATTTAATCTGGAGCTGATATAATCTATTTCTGAACCAATATTTTTTGCTAGAGCTATGCAGTGCTTTAATTCTAATTCCAAAAAGATAGTGGTTGCCAAACATAATATGTGGTTGCCTTCTTTAAAACATTGATATTATTCTGTTCCAAGAACAGAGGATGGAAGAACGAAAGTGAGACAGAATAACATTGGCTAACTCTATTAGTTCTAACAACTCGGCTAACAGTGACAGCTCAGCTAACAACAACAGCTGATTCCCGTCTAACAGCTCCTTTCATAGTCAGCTGTCAGACGGACAGCCAATCAGGATGAATGTCTCTTCCCGCTTGAACAGCTGACCGGAGTGAAGCCTTAATACCCAACAGATATGTTTTCCCAGAATCCTAAAGCTGCTTTTTTCAGCTCTTTCATGATTCCAAGAAAAGCTATTGCTGGTCTCTAAATCGTTGACTTCTCAAGCTGACTTTCCTTCCCAAGGATTTATATAAGATTTATATAAGAATGTATTTATCTGGACTATTAATAATGACCGCAAGGTTTAGATAATGAGCTTTCGTGCTACATTTCACTTCTTGTCTTATCAATTTGAGGAAATTGACCAGTTTTTCCCCCCCATCTCCTTTTAGGCTCTTGCAAAACAAGAAAAAATTGAACTCGCAGAACAGGCCCTTAGAGAAAAACAACTGCATACAAAACTTGCTGCTGAAAGAGCTGAGGCTCGTTATAAGAAGCATTATGACATTTGCTGGGAGGTGGTTGAACAAATCATTGATTTAGCAACTAAAATAGGAGAATATAGAACACTGACAAATAAGTAAGTCCCTAATATATACAGCTTTGTTTTTTGTTTGCTTTGGTTTTGCATTCCCTTTTGGCTATGTTGGGGAAAGTGAGCAACATAGAAATATACAGAAATTGATTCTCAGGCATCTAGATGAGAAAACAGCAATGAAGCCCGAGTAAAATTTGGGCTTGAGAACTCAATATATAGGAACAATTGCTGAGATCTGTTGAGGTGTCATCTATAGTCCAACCAGTGTGAGCTCACCATATGGAGATTTAAGAAAAACCAATTTCAGATGAATCCACTAGTTATAAAGTGTCTTTTTGTCTTGGCATCAAGGAGGCATCCTCCTTGGTTTAATTTTATTTCATTGCCTTATAAAAATCTAGTGATTGATCTACACTTTGAGCGAGGGAAAGCAGTTGTGCCTCATAGTTTTCTTTAGGTTGTTTCTGTTAAAATCCACTCTAATGGAATGCTGTCAACGGAGTTATAAACATTTAATTAAATAAGCTGTAGGAAAGTTAAAGAGTGAATTCTAACTTGAGTTTCCTTTGGTTGGTACCCATTAGAGTGGTGAACTCCATCTCTCAGCGTTTCCTGCCACCAAAATGGGTATTGTGTGTTTACATAACCTGCAGCTCCATATAAGTTACATAACTTAAAGCAATGCTTCTCAGCCTTGATCACTTGCAGATGTGTGGAACTTTGGCTGCTTGAAGAAGCATGTTGGGTGGGGAATTCTGGGACATCTTCAAGTGGCCAAAACAGAAACACTGCCTTAAAAATATCTACCCTACAGATCTGTTCAAAATATTTTTGTGCTACCTATCAGTTTGAAAAGTTGGGAGTGGAACCTATTTCTTAAGTTATGCAATTAATGCTCAGAATAACATTAGTAAAATATTAACAGTACCAGCTAAAGAGCATTTTGTTGTATAGTTTTTTTGTGATAAGGCTATATACGTATACCTATCTACTGTTAGAGATGTTATGCTGAGATATACTCAGTAGATTAATGCATTATTTCAAGTAATCACAAATATATTCTTAGTAAAATAAAAATAGTTTCTGTTTTTTTTATCATTTTACTGATCAAATATTTCTGGTGAAATTCTCCCTCATACACATATTCAGAATAGTGTCCCTTATATATAAAAAAATAATTTTCTAAAGTGAAAAATATTAAGATTAAACCTTGACAAACAGTACCCATGTCCATTCTAAAATGAAATCTCAGGTCATTTTGACTAATTGAACTTAACTTGGATTGATCTAAATTTAGCAGTTGCTTCTTTTCGACACAACAAAAATGGAACTATTCCTAGCCAGAGGAGAAAAAAATGAGAGCATGGATGAACACACATAGTTGTCAGGTATCTCTTGCCTCTTCATTTTGCTCTCCAGACTGAGGGGCACAGTTTGCCTACAATACTGCCTTTTAACCACTGCACTACTAGGCTATTAACTAATCACTAGAGCTATTAACTATTATTAACAACAGGCACAGATACAGACCAATTTACAGAAATACAGATACATACTTTATTCTTTTCAGCAGTAGCAAGAAAGAATAAAAAGGGGGTATGAAAGAAAAAGAGAAAAAGACTGAATTGAGATTCAGGTAAGGAAGAGAGGAAAGGAAAGAGAAAGAAATCTTGTTGATGCACTATATATAAAGCATTACAATTCACTAGGCAACCAGTCTTTCTCAAGCTACTATTCATAAAAGATATCATATGTTTTAGCAATGATTATTTGCAATCACTTCAATTTCCTGCCCATTTGTTTATTTTCAACAATTTGAATATAAAATAATATCCCAACACCCAGGTATATAACAAATTCCAAGTCAGTTAGGGTAAAAACTGATCTTCCTAATGTGTAATTGAGCCATTTTGTCTAAATAGAATTTATCTGACAAAATTCATTATTTCTTCCTCTTTTATTATTTCTTATGTTCCACTGATCACTTTTGTTGATTAAAAGCCTGTTCCCTTCGTACTAAATACAGTTTTATTTTTCTTTATTTCCACAGTTTAATTCCTGCAAAGATTATGCGTGACTGGAAGGAGCTCTTCTTAAAAGGAAAGCCAATTTATGAGCAAGCTGACGTCAGCGATTTGTCAGATGAGCCAACTCCAGAACAATTAGTAGAACTGGACAAAATTAATTTGCTAGATGAGAAAGATTATGATGAATATAAGGTACTCCCAACTGATACGGCCTAATGGAAGAATATAAATAGCTCACAAAATCATTGTTCATGAACATCACATTTGTTTTGTGATTGATGCATAGGTTTCATATTAGCATAATAAGCATTTTGGCAGAATTAAATGTACTTTATGCTCCGTTTTTCTAGGATTTGGCAATGCATTGATTCACTGCCATTCTGGGTGTTTATCACGGTCCCTTCCATTTCCCCCTCATAAGCAATAACAGTAACATGCAAGAGCTCCAAGGTTGTGATATTTTAACTTAAGTAGAAATTAAGTTGTAGTACATTACAGTGTGCTAGAAAATGTTAATGCAAAGTAATACACAAAGCCTGATGTGAAATAAACATTGTCTGTCACTGAATGAGTAGTCTTCTTTCATTGGTATTTTCTAGTACAATTCTTGTTATTTTAAGATAAGTTCATTTCAGTATCTTTAGTTTTACTATAGGCAGTTCCCAGAATTAGTTATCATTATCTTATTTTAGGAATCTTTGAAGAGGTAAGTATGTATCTAAATATAAATCCCCTCTCCCCCATTCCATTTTCAAAAGCAGACATGATTAAATAATTGAATTCTGAATATTTGCCTTTTTTATTTCCATTCTTTTTGCTTTATTTTCAGCTCAACTGCATGGAGAAAAATGTATATTTTATTTAGGTTGGGTTTGGATTTTTTTTTTCTATCAGCTTGTTTGAACTATCTTCATAAATAGCCTGCATGTTTATTTTTTATCTTGTTTGGGAAACCACATTTATATGTTCTTTTTGTACCCACATCCTGAACACAATTGGTACATTTTATTTTCATCAAGTTGTAAAGCCATATAGTCTGTGCGGTCTTTTTGAGTTAACATAAAACAATATATCTTATTTCTGAAAGTGAAGTTTATTTCTTTGTTTATACTATAGATTATATATATTTTTAAAAGATGCCCTATTTTGTTCATTTAATGCAAACACTGGAGTTACAAGGATAAATTTCCAAGATGCTTTTGCGTTAATCTATTAGGATTACATTGCTGAAGTGAAATGAATAGGTATATTATACCTTTTCTCTTCAGTGTGATTCATATATTATTCCTTCTAGTAAGATGACAAAAACTGAAATTATCATCAGCATACCGATCATCTAAACAGGAACCACCTTAATATTGCCTTTATCAGAAAGATGCAGCAAAAAAATGAGTTCATGCTAACATGGGTGCAGAAGGCACGCAACCATGCCTTGTGAAAGTTGCAGCTGCACCAACTGCAGGTAGTCCTTGACTTAATTACAATTAATCCCAAAGTTTATGTTGCTAAGTGAAACATTTGTTAAGTGAGTTTTGCCACATTTACAACTTTTCTTGCTACTCTTGTTAAGTGAATCATAGCAATTGTTAGGTTAGTAACACCGTTGTTAAGTGAATCTGGCTTCCCCATTGACTTTGCTTGTCAGAAGGTCACAAAGGCTGATCACATGACCCCCAGGACACATGAATGAAGCATCTAAATTTTGATCATGTGACCACGGGGATGCTGCAACGGTCATAAATGTGCAAAATGGTCATAAGTCACTTTTTTCAGGGCTGTTGTAACTTTGAACAGTCACTAAATGAACAGTTGTAAGTCAAGGACTACCTATGGTAACATATATACATCAAGTCTTTATGTGTAGCGTATTTATACAGAAAGAGAAACGGGTGTCCATGGAGATAGCTTCTAAATTTCAAAACATTCTTTATTTCAAAGTGCTTGAATTATTTTTCTCAATGTAGCTCTGTAGTAGGGCTATCTTATCTGGCTGCAAGAACCCAGGTGACCACTAGATGACTGCACAGAATTATTGAAAAACCTGAATTCGCTTCTATTGGTCCAGATAACTACAGCCCTACTTGTAATCCATTTTATTGATAATGATATAAGTACCTAATTAAATAATTATAGACAAGTAGATTGGTTTTCAACAGAAAGTAGGCTTGTACGTATTCTGGACAGTCAATGTGGAACAGCTTCTTCCAATGTATTATAAATAATGTATTAATGTTTTGATTAGACAAAAAATAATTGTGATTACTATGTATAGAAATGATTATATCATGGTCAACAGTTATTTCTTATATTAACCATTTTTTAAAACATTCTCGGCCTCGAGGTTTTTGTGTTTCTTCAGGTCTGTAAGATTCTTCCTGTTTATTTAGCATTTTATCAATCCATAGTATTCCATAAAAGAAAGGGGGGAATTAATGTAGTTGCAAATGTAAGGGCACTGTGCTTATTTATTTGCAAATTTATTAAAGTGCACTTGGGGAAGAAAGAGGACAAAAACATAAAAAAGGCCCACTCCAATTTACAAAATTGGCTGTAATTTGACCACATAATCTTCAAACTTGGTAGTGCAAATGTTAACTATTACCATGGTTAAGGAAGGGAAAATTTTGGAGAGAAAAATGTATATGGGGGTTTTGTGCAGGAAGATCCAAATTAAATTTCTGGTATCTTTCAACAGAGCGCAGAAAATTTCCTATCTCAACCCCCCATAGAATCATTGTCAATATCATTTTTATGTAGAGACATTATTCAGCTGGCTGAACTAATGGTCTGCATTGATATAAGACAACTTCATATTCAGTATTTTGTTTCTCTGTAGGATTGTAGAGAATTCATTTAAGAACAAAAATAGAACTGAAATAAAAATGTGGTTTTGTGCAATTTGTAATCTTGATGCCATAGATTACTTGCTTGGATGTGTAATTTGGAAGAGTCAAGAGCTTCCTTACTTCTAGAGCCAAAGTAATGGCAAAAACGGAAGAGAGATGTGGCTGTGTAAAAGTGCAAAGCAAGCAGTCTTTGCATTGATAATCAGTTATATATTTTGCAAGGCTGATGTGGCAGTTTCACAAGATGTTCCTGATGTCTTTACATACTTTGCAAAAGGGCAGCCCAAGCCTTGCAACTGCTTTAGTGGGTCAAAGTGACAAGCTTTGTTTGTGCTCTTGCACATTCTTGAAGCACGTGCTTTTGCAGGTGGCAACTGGACTTTTTTTTCTTTGAAGATGCTTCGCTTTGAAGAAGTCCCGAATACATTCTCTACAGCAACACCCAGATAAGCAGGAATTAATACCATACACAAAATCAAGCAAAAAACACCCTAATCAAGGAATTACCAAGAAAAAGCAATGTCCCCTTCAACATTGTTAGACAAGTACTGTTTAAAACAGGGAGGGAAACCACATACTCACTATCAATGATAATGTTACCTAGTTGGCTAATGAAATATATGCAAGCAAACAATCAGTCTCAGTAGAGCATCTGGGCCTTCACAATGACTGGAATGATGTGACCTGTTTTCAAAGTGGTTTTTCCCTTGAGATGTTTTTGCTTTTTTTGGTTGCTCTTTTCAGTTTATTAGGTTATCTGAAGAGATCTCTTTTCAAAGTACTGGCAGTTGCTTTTAAAAAGCAATTCGTCAATAATAAATAATGAGTTAATAATAAATAATGATCAGTTGGGTGATCCAGCTAAGGGGGCTTCTATTGATATTCTTGGGAAAATGTAGTCATTGATTTTCATAGCAATTAAGTGCATGGATTAAATTAAATTAAATTTGTCTTAATTTCAATCCAGTCTATGGATTCATCACCTGTAGAAGTGATCCTGAAGGATCTCTTATAGTTTTTCTTTAGTAAATTCTATAGAAAACAGAAAATATAGTTCCAAACATTAATGGGCTACTGTTTCTTTGTCCAGCAGATTTCTTGCTTATTTTCCAGCTGCTTGCATGGAATTACCAGTACTTGTAATAACTTACATGCAATTTTTGGTTATCTCTAGTTACAGACTGCAACAGTGTTTTACTATAAATTCATAGTAGCTAATTTAATGTCTTCCAGACAGTGGGAGTACATTCCCACAGTTCCCTGCTATTGGTATCCTGTTAAGACTGGTAAGAGTTGAAATCAAAGGGCTAACAGACATAGGCTGTTGACTCCCCAGGTAAATATAACACTGGGTAGAAATATATTCAGAAAACGTTGGGATAATCTTTAATGAAATTCACTTAGTACACTTAAAATATGCAAATTGTACACAACCCATTCTGCTTTTCTGCCCCTCATTGGCAAATGTAAGCATAGGCTGTTCATGTGATAGGTATTCATTTAAAAAAGCTGATTTTAACAGAATAACAGAGTTGGAAGGGACCTTGGAGTTCTTCTAGTTCAACCTCTCTTCTCAGGCATTTTAGACAAATGGTTGTCCAATCTGTTCTTAAACAGAGCATCCACAACACAGGAGGGAATTTTTGCCATATTATTGTATATATTTATAGCCCCAAAGTGCTGCTTGCTATATGTTCAGTTGTGTATTCATTCTTGAACTAAGAACAAGTATGGATGTGTCTTCTGTAATGCTTAAATTGATTCAAGAGAAATTGTTCCAATTCTTTATCAGTCTGACTGTTTTCCCAGTCCTAACCAAGAGGAAACTTAGTGAGTTTGCGAATCTATCACATGATCACAGTTTGTTTTGAACAGTTTTGTAATATTGATGAGTGCTATATATATGAAACCTTAAACCATGTCACTGAATGTTCCTCCCCTTCTTCCTGTCTCTTCATGCCTTCTCTTGGTTTGTTATTTGGCATTCATTATCTCAGTTTTTTTCAACCTTGGAAACTATAAGATGTGTGGAATTCAACTCCTAGAATTCATTACCTGACTAATTCTGGGAGTTGAAGTCCAAACATCTTAAAGTTTCCAAGGCTGAAAAACGCTACATGATCTGAATAAAGTAGAAAATTGTGTCTTAATAGAACCCAGTATATTTTCAGTCAAGCTAATTATGTGCTGGTTTGGAGCAGCAGATAAGGAGATGCACTTATTTCTAATTTATGAAATCCAGGATTGTTTATTTGACCTCAGCTATTACTCATGTTTCTTATTATATAAGCTAAAAGTTGTAAGAAATAATAAGTTGTGCCCCTTTATCCATGATTTCTTTTCCATTGTGTACACTTCATAACTTGGTTAGAGTACTGCATCATTTCTGCATCAATTCAAACTGGGTAATATGGTTTGAATTTATTATTTTATAGTGAGAAAAAATTACAACTGGTTTCTACTTTTAGATTGGTGAGAAAATGAAAAATGTATCTGTCCATTTTGAATGTAACAGCCAACTATGTTTTTCTTGAACTAGAATTGGACCTAGAGCTAAGCAGACTCACATCTACTTAAATCTATTCCTTCAATAATTATTTGGAAATGAACAAGAAAAATCCAGACATATTTTTGTTTTGTTTTTCAATTAACTAGTTCTGTTACTAAACAAAAAGTCAGATATGTATTCTGTGGTATGATGACATCAGTCAACACAATTTATATTGCAACTGGATTTAATTTGTTCAATGCAGCAAGCAGTTATGTGCTGCCCAAAATTCAACAGACTACTTGATGTGGGATGACAGCAATGCAGAGTAATCTGTAGTTACTACTTCCTGTGATTTGGGAAATTACTTTTGTTGATGCTTCCTGAAACTGCATCTGCTTTTTTGTAATTGCAACCATTTAGTTTGTAATTACTTGACCAAATCTTTTTCACAAGTACTAATACCAAGTCAAGTATTCTCAACCTTTAGGTATGCATTTGATCTTTCCTTTTCTGTTATTTGAAGAGGGGAAAAACATTTGCTGTCTTCCAATCATTAGGTACCGCACCAGTGTTTTACAAGTTTTGAAAGATTTTTGCCAGACCCCTTAGTATCTGGTGGTGGCCTTAGAGATTTAACTAATTGAAAGTAAAAATGTATTTCCCAAGCATGGTTTTATTATTGTTATTTTGGACCTAACCTTCTTTGAATACATTTTTTTTCTTGGAGAAGGCTGAACCAAACTAGGAGTTGAATAACTTTGTCTTTTTTCCTATTAGCATATTGTTATCTTCACTGGAGAGCTACTGTACAACTTTGTTTTATTTTAAATAAATGTAAAGGAACTTCTGTGGTGATTATTCTTAGTATCCTTCAGGAACTTAAGTTCTTTAGGCTTAAAATTATTATCTGACACTATTTATCCATCAATCCCTCCATTCCTCCAAAGAAACTCTGGGTAGCCATAAAGTTGAATTACAAGTATAGTTAATCCTTGACTTACATGCATTTCTTTAGTGACCAATCAAAATGGTATTGAGAAAAATGACTTATGACATGTTGTCACATTTATGACTACAGCATTCCCATGGTCACGTGATCATAATTTGGGTGCTTGGCAACTGACATGTATTTATCACATCTGTAGCATCCTGAGGTCATGTGATCACCATTTGTGACCTTCCTAGCCAAGTCTGACAAGCAAAGTCAATGAATGAAGCCAAATTTGCTTAATGAACATATTATTCACTTACTAACTTTAGTGATTTGTTCAAGAATCATGGCAAGAAGATCGTAAAACGGTGCACAACTCATAAATCAACTGCCTTGATTAGCTGCGGAACTGTTGGGTTCAATTTTGGTCATAAGTCGAGGACTACCTGTAGTCTTTGTTTAGGAACTGTTCAAGTACAATAGTGATGAAAAAATAACGGCAACCTCTCCTTGGATTTATGATTTTTTCAAAGGTCATAAAACAAAGGAAAGCTATAGTAAAATTGTAATGTTTCGCTTAGCAACTGATTTACTTTACAACCAAGTAGCAGGTCCCAATTGTGGCAGTTTAACAAGAACTACCAGTAATAAGTAACATTTCTATAATTCTGAGTTACCTGTATGCACTCTTAAAGAGTTTTTTTAACCCCCTATATGTGTCTTTTTTGTTTTCTGGTCTTTACTAAGCTGAGGCCAGTTTTCACTCTTTTCTTTCTCTCCACATTTTAAGATCATTGCCTCTGACATGTCGAAACAATAGCAGAAGGAATTACAAATATTCTGTATTCTTAAAGGTTAATAGAACTTAATAATAGAAAACTCTTCTCCTTCCTTTTTAAAAAATTCCAGAGGAGGTTTGTCAAAGTACAAACAACAAAGAGACTTGAGGTATCTCAAAAGACAAATTGATCAAGGTATAAGCTTTTATTGATTACTGTTCAATATCAGATTAATTATTTGTCCTGCTTTGGCAAGAATGTTTGGTGTGTTCCACTTTTGGCTCATTTACATCTGGTTACACCATGTTTAGTGCTTGGATTTGTACTCATGCACTGGAGTTTTACAGAAAACAAGGAAGATAACTTGGACAGAGATATACAGGCGCTGTTGCCTAGATAAAAGGCTAGGTTACATATCTCCACCAACGCTGCCTTCTTTACTCTCTACAAGTCTTTCCATCTTCTGTTTCTTCACTTCCTACATATCTTCAGAAATTAGGTCTGGCAAGTCACCTGGAGAGAGATTTTTAAAAAGCACAGGGTATCTTGGAGCAAAATAAAATTATTTTGTCAAAAAGTTTAAATTGTGCTGGCAGAGTAAATATAATCTGCAAATCATTATTTTTCTCAATATCAATGCTCAGGGAAAAATTGACAGTTCAGGTTGCAAAATACTGGGAGAGTTTGGGGGTTTTATTTTGTAATATTTCTCAAAAAACAATCTTTGGCTCAGAAAGCTATTTTCCTTTGCTAGTGAAATTGAAACATTAATGGGTGTTTTATTTTGTTTGAGGAAAAGATAATTCATTCTCATTGTTTAATGCAACTAAGTACAAATATTTCATGCTTTGAGATTTTGAATGAAAATGCCTGGGCATATATCCAGTTCCAGAGCCATTGAACAGATTTCTGCTTGTTGGATACTGCCATTCATAAAGCAAAGGGGAAAAAAAGTGAATTTCTATTGCAAAACAAGAATGAGAATCCGGGAAATTGCATCAATTCATTTCAATTCTATTCACAAAATTTTCATTTTAACAAGGTAAACTAATCCTAGTAAATTGAGATCCAAGTTAATAGCTAAGAGAAGAACAAATTGTCATCTTTGAAATTCAGAAGCAAAAATAAGTTAAAGTTTAAACAAAAGAAAAATCAAGCTTTCTATTGGGAAGAAGGAAAAGGTGTTCATGTCTCCAGGTGATACTAACAACAAATCACATGGATCTTGATTATTAATAGTAGTAGAAACAACTTGCTTCAATGTGTTTTGTTTTCAAGTGGCTTATTTATGGCAGCCTTTCTTAATCTCAAAACTTCCATATGTGGTGAACTGCAGCTTCTTTAATTGTCAGTCAGAATGGCCAACACAACTGGAAAACATGAGTTTGGGAAGTGTTGATTACATTATAATACATCTATAGTACCACTGAAGTCAAAAGCAAGTTTGCTAATGATAACAGCAGGAAGAAAGTCAAGCAATTTAATTTATGTCATTAAGAAATTCCTAGTGAGACCTAAGGTTTAATTGAGCAGGTAAAATTTATTACATGAGCAAAGCCTGTTAACTCTCTTGTTAGTGATTTAAAAAAATTAAGCCAGGGACACTCATTTTGCACATAATGTACATATTACAGTGGCTCATGTTCTTCCTTAGAGTTTCTTATAATTGAAACCCAACAGGGGTTGTTTGGACATAATTTGGATAACTGGATATCTGGACAATGCCAGGTTGGAGAAGGTCCATTTTTGTTAATGGCTGTAAGCCTTGTGAATCTTGCATGAAATAACTTGCTGCAGCCTTTTCCTTTGCTCAGATATCCCTTATACAGCTCAATGGCATTTACTGCTAAGTAAGCACCTATAGGATTGTGTTTCAATGTGGTTCCTTTTTCCAGCAGTCTGGATGGATGCAAAATGTTCCATTTTATGTTGTGATTTCTCTTACTACAGGCGATGGTTGAGGAGTGGTACCCTCCTGAAGAGATCAGAATAAATAAACCACCTCCTGATAATGTAATATTGGGTCATGTGATTCACAGATTGATGGGACTTGTCTATCCCCCAGAACCGGAACCACCACCGTCTATATTTTCTCCATTCCCTCTGAAAGGTTGCATTTTGGGAAAGCTCTATAGTGGGAAAACCACCTGCTTAAACTTCTTGGAAAAAGGTAGGGTGGATTTCTATTTTCCCTAGAATTTATTTCCTCCTTGATGTCTTCACAGAGTCCCCCCCCCCACACACACACTGAGTAATGTGTTTCTTCAAGACAGTTTATGGGGGACTGCATATCCATTTGAGTAGATCAAAACTGAAAATGGGAGGACTCCATTCTCACACTTGGCATCCACTTTTTCAGACACATTCCCCCTTTTTCTTTTCCAGTATCATCTTTTCCTATCTCTGCAGGCTCATCACATTGCAGGCAGCATTTGAAATGTACTAGGGATAAAGGGGAATGGGTTGATGGTTCGACTGTAGTAATCAAAAGAGAGAACTTAAAAAGAAAAAGAAAACAACATTCATTGAAGCAATAGGTTGCCAATTGAATTTGAAAGTGCTGTTGAGAGTATTTGGGTTAAAGTAAGTGGTGAAATGAATAAAAAACTACAGGACTTGCCTGAATAGAGCAGGTGATGCTTTTCAAAAACAGACTATAGATATTTCCAAGAATTGTGAAATGCTAATGTTGATGGAGCATTGTCCAATATCTTAACACATGTACAGACAAAGTCTGCTAAATATGATCCTTCCAGGAAATTCAAGATGTACGATATTCATTATTTTCTCCTTCAAAGAAGGAAGCACAAGGTGACCTTTTGCTCTCAACTTGGTACAATCAAGTTAGAGAAGAGTACAGGTAGTCTTTAGTCACAATGGTACCAAAAAAAGTGACTTATGACTGTTTTCCACATAAACTTTGCAGCATAAACATCCCCTTGGTCACATGATCAAAATTCAGACACTTGGCAACCAAGTCATATTTATGATGGTTGCAGTGTCCCAGGGTTACGTGATTAGCTTTTGCGACTTGAATAAAAAGCTACAGGACTTGCCTGAATAGAGCAGGTGATGCTTTTCAAAAACAGACTATAGATATTTCCAAGAATTGTGAAATGCTAATGTTGATGGAGCATTGTCCAATATCTTAACACATGTACAGACAAAGTCTGCTAAATATGATCCTTCCAGGAAACAAAGTCAACAGGGAATCCAGATTCACTTAACAACCATGTTATTAACAAATGCAATGATTCACTTAACTGTGGCAAGAAAAGTCATAAAATGGAGCCAACTCATTTAACAATATTTCACTTATAGCGACATAATTTTTGGGCTCAATTGTGGTTGTAACTTGAAGACTATCTGTAGTTGGAAAAAAAACAGTTCGCTGCAACACTGGGGAATGCAGCCATGCAATGCTCCATGTAATGATTTCAAGGGAAGCTAGTAGTGATTGATTGTTTTAAATTATATTTGTAATGTGCTTAATAGTACTTTTTATTGTATGCTACCCAGAGTCATTTTGTGAGAGATGGGTGGACATATGCATCTAATAAATAAATAAATAAAAATTGGAGAACTGCCTTAGATTTAAACCTTAAATTTTAATAAATGGCTATGATAAGTAGAGTCCATTTGAGGAAAAGAAAAGAAAAAATAAACAGTATGCCAGCTACTGAATGAAGATGGCAAAATTCTCAAAGCAATAAGGGAAAGACAGCTGTTTAACTCTTAACTTTGGCTCAGTTTTAACAAAACAACAGTTGGAAGGGACCTTGGAAGTCTGCTAATCCAATCCTTTCCCAAGCAGGAAACCCTAAACCATTTCAGGCAAGTGGTTGTGATCAGTAAAATAAAAGAGCAGGATTGAAATTTGAGGTTCATAGAAACACGATCAGGAAATATGCCTTGACTTTGGATGAGTTTAAGTCTCCACATTCTAGGGAACTGGTGGAGTGGCTGAACTGTATTGTTCCTTTAGGAAATATTTGGAAAATTGACAAAATGCCACTTGACAAGAGGAGGGCAAATGTCCTTTCTTCAGAAAGAGGAAAAAGTAGATAAAGATAATTAGAGACCAATCAAATTTACCTAGATATCAGGGAAGAATCTAAAGCAGATCATATTGATTTTTATGCACCAAGAAAAACAGTTGTATGTTTCTGTGACTTGTGTCACACTCAATTTTGAAAAGGCTCTGGGTAGCACAACAGAAGCCAAATAGAATTCTAAACAATCAAACCCAAACATTCAATAACAATCAACATCCTAGTTATTAACTCGCCAAGCAAAATAACCTTTAACAACAATTACATAATGCAGGGAAGGGATATCACCTTATTGGTGAGAGGAATGGCATATAAATTCAATGAATCAATCAATTAAAAGGCATCAACCCCAAAGACTTTCTGGAAGATGAGAGTCACAAGACTTAAGTGGGGACTAGCTAGCTCAAAAATTATATATGAAGAGTGTTCATCAAGAGTTCCCCATCAAGTTGGAGGAAGTCTCAAATAGTCTACAAGGTTCAATCCTGGGCAATACATTCCTCACCTCTGTCTAATAACCTAGATGAAGATATGGAAGGAGTCTTTATCAAAGAGCTTATTCTCCAAAAGAAACAATATTCAAACAATATTATTAGATTAGACAAATGGCTGAGGAATACAACGTAGTTTAAAAGAAACAGGTATAGTGTTAAGAAATCAGCAATATCTTACAGGCTTGCATATAAGAGAGTGGGTAATGTATATGCATACTGTATACTTGTACACACAGACACACAGAGAGAATTGTTTGTATTTGTTCAAAATGTCTAGATATAGAAGCTGTTAGCAGAATCAGCAATGTAATATCGCTACAAAAATCCCATTTTAGGCTGCACCAGAAGAATTTATAAATGGTTCAGAGGAGGGTTAAAACCAGCAATGCATATTGAAAAGGGACAGGACCTTCATTGCTATGTATTAACTATCATTTGGGGGTTTTGACACCCATCTTGGATGTTATTGAATAGACAGGAAGTAATTGTTCTACTTTATTGGAGCTTGTTAATCTAAGACCTGCTCTTTATAGTATAGGATATAGAGCACTAGATTTAAGCTAAAGAAGATGAATTCTGATTTAATTATTATATATAAAAAAGCAAGAAATATCTTAACAATGGAATCAGTAGGGCAGACAACCAGAAATTAATTATGTGCTGAGAATATTTCAACCCTACTCTGGACAGGGGGATTAGACTTGATGACCTAAATGACCCTTCAAGACTACAATCATAATAAATTATGCCAATGGCTTAGGTACTATCCTGTTTAGAAAACAGTACTGCCAATTAAACAGAACAAAAGCTAGCAGAACAAACAATATTGGTATTTATTTATACACACTCCAATGAAGTTCCATATGCTTGGGAGTAATTTAAAATGGCATTAGCAAACAATTGGACGAATCAGTGAAATCACTCTGAAAGGAGATGTACTACCTTGCCCAGCAACTAACTTTAAATGCCTAAGGACATGTCTTCAAATCCCTAAATCTTAGGAGGAAAGGAGTAATTATTAATCCTATTAAGCTCCTTATATCATGTGCCATAAGCATTCTAACTGATCTGGGGTTTTCCCAAATCCACAAAGGTTTTTTTCCCCCCTTATCTGTTTCATGTCTCTTTGTGGCAAAGTCAGGAAGTATGGATCCCGGGGCATGAGTGATATAGTTCATCAATCCTCCAGAAAGGAGGACTTGGTTCTACAAAGAGTAGGAGTGAAAATTCTCTAAAAACATATTTCTGTCATTTTCATAAAGATACATAGAAAAACATGCCTACGATCTCTTTTTATAATGGCATAAAATATAAACCCATTATAAACCTGGTTGTCTCTGTCAGTTTTTAATATCCAGGTCCTATCTCTGGATGCATTGATTTCAGAGGCAATTAAATCCTTCCATGAAAGAGAAATGTCGATTGAAAATCTACTACCAATCAGAATGAAAGACTCTTCCTTGAATCAAATGCATGTAAGTAAACCTGGCATGGAATGGTAAACTGAAATTGTGCTTATGTTTGACCAGACCAAATAGATTTTAACAATTGTTACTAAGGTTGTCCTAAAATTAAAAAAAATCCAATTATGTCCTTCCTCTTCCAAATACTTCCATAAACTATTGATTGGAGGCAAAAGCCTCTATTTGTGCTGCCATAAGTTTCATTAAAGTTTGCAGAGGAGAACTTCACAGATTAAATCTCTGTTTTCTGTTGTGCCTTGTAAGAATAACTCTGTTTGAATTCTGCTGTATAAAGCAGCTTTTTTTGTTTTAGTTGGTATTCATATATTGAAAATAGGACTTTTTTCTAATCATTCAGTGACAAGATGAATGTCTGTGGTTATTTGAATTATCCACGTTTAGGGATGTTACTCTTAAGTTCCACTTCAGGATTGGGGTGTAGCAATAGCAATGGCATTTAGATATATACTGCTTCATGGTGCTTTACAGTCCTCTCTAAGTGGTTTACAGAGCCAGCCTATTGCCCCCAACAATCAGGGTCCTCATTTTACCCACCTCAGAAGGATGGAAGAATGAGTCAACCTTGAGCTGGTGAGACTGCTGGCAGCCGCAGTCAATGCAAATAGCCTGCAGTACTGTATTCTGTGCCACCACAGTTCTTCCATGTAACTGGAATTCTTCTTGGACTCACAGCTCTTGCTGAAGGATGGCAATTGTGGCCAGAAAGAAATTCACACAAATTCACAAATGATCCATTACCTGGTTGATAGGATAATCACTCATGCTTTGGTCATCTTGTACCTAGACTATTGCCAAATCCTATACATAGGGCTGCTTCTGTACAATTCAAGATGTTGTTAATCACTGGTTTGGTGTAGTGGTTAAATCACCAGGCTGGAAAAAAGGAGATTGTGAATTCAACTCCTGTCTTAAGCCAGCTGGATTACCTTGAGCCAATCACTGTCTCTCTCAGCCTAACTTACCTCACAGGGTTGTTGTAATATAGAAAATAGGAGGATAAAAGTGTGTTAAATATGTTCCTTTGGGTTATTTGCAAAAATAATAAAGAGGTGATACAAATAAAATAAATAAATAAACCAATAAATAAAAGTCTTTCTAACATTAATTATATACCATCAAGTCATTCTCTAGTCAAAGCCTGATTCGCTGAGAGATTATTTATCTTCTGTGGTTTCTAGCTATCCTGTATGATCAGACAGAGTCAGCATGCTCTGGGTCTCATCAGTTAAACTGTGTTTCCTGGTGGGACCCAGGAACTATGTTTTGTCTGTTACATGTAGCTCCTGACCATTGAAACTGCCTTCCCTCAGATATCCATATGTGCTCCACTCTTCCCTTATTTAAATGACAAAGCCTGGTTCTTCCCCTAGGCCAGTGATGGAGAATCTTTTTGGCACCGAGTGCCCAAACCACAAGGTGCTTGCATGTGTGTGCATGTGCTCATGCCAGAGCGCTGGAAACCTAAAGACCAGCTGGTTGGCGCACATGTGTGCCGGCAAGCTAGTCTTTGGGTTTCCAGCACACCTGTTTTTTGGTCGGTTTTTTCAACTATTTCCAGGCCATTTTCTGGCTGGTTTTTTTTTTGGCCAAAAACAGCCTAGAAAATGACCTGGTTTTAGGGCGTCTTTTGCCATTTGGGGGGGCATTTTCCGGTGCTCCGGCATCCACAAAGACCAACTAGCGATTACACGAGTGCCCACAGAAAAGGCTCTGCATGCCACCTCTGATAAGCGTGCCATAGTTTTGCCATCACGGCCCTAGGCCTTTTGCTAGAGTGTGTAGGGCAACTCCTTGTGTGATGAATGGTCAGTTATACCTTGTGTGATTTTTCTTTGGACATTTTCTGTTTTGTACTATTTTGTTTTTATTTATTTGTCATATTTAAGAGCAACCCATCCCTCACACAGAGGAGTGGCATACAATAAAATACCAAAAGCATTAAAAAGTGTGTAAAAATTTAAGAGGCAAGAAATATTTAAAATGGATTAAAAGGTGGGTGAGGAGGACTTTTTGTTGTCAACCAGTTCCATGGCTGCAGGCTCATCTGTCCACCCCATGCAAGGGCATAGAGCATATCTTTATGCCTTTATGGAAGTCCAGAAATAGAGGCCTGCCTCACAGGATGGATAGGGGGCTGGAGGCAACATCAGAGAAGGCTTTCTTCCTAGACTCTTGCCAGTTGGAATTCTTTGGCTGACAGGATCTACAATATATTTTCCCTGTTTGACTGGTGACGAGATGACGTAATGGGATGAAGATGGTTCTGTAGATTTAAATCCCCATTCCATGTAGGGATTTAATATCACAAACAGCACCTTGAATTGGATCCAGAAGCAGTCCAGCACCCAATGCAGCTCACACAGCAGAGGTGCTAAGTGCAGCATTCTTTGGGCTCCCAAGATTGCCAAAAAGGCTGCATTTTGTACTAGTTGAGGTTTCCAGATACTTTTCAAGGGTAGCTTCATGTAGAGCACATTGCAATAGTCCAGATGGGAGATGACCAAAGCATGAGTGATCAGGTGAAGAACTTCCCTGTCTAGGAAAGGGCATAAATGTTTTAAATAGTTTGCATAATATATGCCATTCGGAGTCATGAAGGAATCAAATGGTCTTATAAATTTAATAAACAAACATGTGGCTCAGAAGAATATATGTACATGTCATCCATTCCCACTTTGTTTGTGCTTATCTTTTACATCCCCCCTAAACTTGTGAGTCCTTGTCCTTTTCTGAATCAAGAGAACTGAAGGCATCTGGTCAATTGGTTGCATACGGTTGGCTTTCATTGGGAGAAAAAGCAATGTCGTGAACTCTCTTTGAAACTGGAAAATGATGCAAGTTTCATTATCTAGCAGGAGGAACAGGAGTGCCTTTATGAAACATCCTAAGGCATTGGTTTTTTTTAAAAAGCAATAAACCCTGACTTATCAGTCACAGCTGCTAGATTCATTAGAACCTATGAGAACACATTACGTGTGAAACCAGTCATTAGGATTTATAAATGAACAATTGTTTATCAAATTGACAGAAAGGGAAGGGATAAATCCAATACACTAATAAATAAATTGTACTCACCCAAGAAAATTGGCTTAAACAACTTTTGCTCAATCCAAAGTAGGAACCCAGCCATTGTCTCAATACTACATCATATCAAAAAAGTGTTAATAATGTTCTTTCACTGGATTCTTGTTGAGTTCTTAAAATATTATATATTTATTCAGTGTTGATTTTTTTTACAAAACTGTCTTCCAAAATTTACCAGTGTTTTACAGAGAGAAAAAGAAATGGCTAATGATTTCTTTGCTTGTTTATTTGAAAAGGTTCTAAAAGAGGCTTCTAAGGCTTCATTGATAGTAGCGAAAACTTATGAGTCAGCAGAACAGAACATAGAAATTGTGGAGCCCAAAGGTAAATCCATAAATAATATCTGATGTTGGAGTTCAATGTTCATCCACACCAGGCGTAAAATGAGATGGCCAAAACACAAAGCTCTTGCTTTGCCAAAACTGCCACATAAGGATTGCATAAATCCAGGTCACCTCTGGAGGGCAGCATAGAGCTCCAGAACATTGCAATTTGTTGCCACCACATATGCCACTACATATGGTTGCAGATACAGCAGTAACCCAAGTTTGCAGCAGTAATTTATTTTTTCATTCATTGTATCTATTTGATCCTTCTCCTTACAACAGAATTGGAGAACAATTTATATAGATTTGTAAGTTTTTGCAACAGTTCTGTTACTGTAAATCTGCCACATATATTACTTTGTAAAACTTTGACATTAATACAAAGTCTTATCTCAGACAATTTCAACAAGTTTGGCAAAATGCTGGGCCAATGATTCTTACCATCAAAGTCCTTTACAGAACTACAGATTATAAGTTTCTGTACCAGAATTTTGCACATGATGTGTGTGGAGATGGTATAATTAAGCATGGCCAATGTCTCATGGTATGAAAGTTGTGTGCTTCCAAGTTACTTATTCACATTCTCTCTCCATTGGAAGAAACAGTTTTTTAAGTTTAAAATTATTGATTTGTTTTTCCATTTTGGCACATATTTTATTTTAGCTCATATGCTTTTTTCTGTTTCCGTATTACTAATGTAAACATGCACATTGGTATTAAAAGACATTGATATGGTTTTGGTTTATTGATTTAGTTCACATGCAGTGATAAAATGTTATTTGTTTTTCTCTTTAATGTTTTTTTCCTGCAAGTGCAGGATCCATCTTTTCAAATCAATAAAATGTTTATCCATTGACAGGAAATGACAGGAAATTAATTAAGTTGGGCTGAAAAAGAGTGACTGGCCTAGTCACCTAACGGGCTTTCATGCTGAAGACGGGGCTAGAATTCTCAGTCTCCTGGTGATTGGCCAAAAATCGGCCAACCAGCTTTCATGCCTAAGGCAGGACTAGAACTTAAACGTTTTCTGGTTTCTAGCCTGATGCTCTTCACTACGGGTGACAAACTCGTGGTATCACGTTGCTGTCACATGATGTTTTGCAACTTTTTTCCTTCACAGAGCTGGGGTGGGCGTAGTCTGCACATGACGCATCTGGCCCACGGGCTGCCAGTTTGGCACCCCTGCTGCAATGTTCCCTCTAAGCTGTGCACCTGCGCGGCCGCGCACATAACAAGAAAACACCACGCAGAAGTTTTAAATTGCGCTCAGTGTTTTTTAATGTCTTAAAATATGACTGAAAATATCCTCCTTTCCTCCCTTCTCTCTCTGCACCGAACTCTCTCTTCCGTCTGTTGATTGGTGAAATCAAGGAAGACTCTGCCCGGAGACTGATGATGCTGCAGAAGGGAGAATTCCCATTGGTCCTCTGGGGCTTCATTGGTTCCTGGGAAAATGCGATTCACTGGTTGTAGCCTGCGTTTCGCTGCATATCCGGGGTTTCTCAGGCATTACGTCATCTGAAGCCCTGTTCTGGGCTCGGCAGCCTTTCTGCGATCCCTTCGCTTTGCAGAGAGAGGGAAGCAGCGTGGAATTGGACTGCCTGAACTAAAGGGGCCCACGGGATCTTGAGACTTAGTTTTTGAGCAGTACCAATCCATTCCACTCTTTCCTTTTCCCTTTCTGTCCTTCTATTTTCCTTTGCTTTTCCTTTTCCTTTCCTTTCTCTTTTCCTTTTCTTTCTCTTTTGCTTTCCTTTCTCCTTTCATTTCCTTTTTCCTTTCTTTCTTTTCCATTTCCTTTCCTTTCTCCATACCCAATGTTCTGCCCCGAGCAATGAGGTTCTGCTCGGGCAGCCAGTTAACTCCACGCTTGGGAATATCTTTCAGATCACGTTTATTGTCAGGCATCCTTAATAGCAAAACTTACAGTTCAGTGTTAAGATTCTTCTGACTTTCCCTGATCTGTCCCATCACGTAGTGTAAAAAGACATTAATTCCTCTAACCCATGCCGCTGGTGCAAAGCTGCTTCTGGTCGTGCCGATGGCGATTCAGTGAGTGCCCAGTAATAAATCAATTTCCCGGGCAGAGTACCCACTGCCCAATCGGGGAGCTCAGATGTGGTCACATGTTATGGGACTACATTTCCCATGAGGTAGTAACATTTCCCATGAGGTAGTAACATTTCCCATGAGGTAGTAA